GCTGAATAAGTTTGTTGTAACATTTCAATTGTTTTTTTGTCAACTCTTAGAGCCTTACTTCTTTTTTTGCCAGTGTCTTCAGTTTTCACTTTTCCTTCAATGGTTTTCATCCTTGATTATATTCGATGTCTTGAAATGGTTTAGTGTCACAGGTTTTTTGTGTGTGGTACAGTGACCTGGCCTGTGTGTCCCTTCCAATTTTTTGGTTTGTTTCCTTAACAAATTTATCCCAGTTTTTGAGGCTAGAAGTTTGCAATTCATGGGGCCAACTTTAGGGAAACGGTTTTTCTGTCACTCTTTGGAATGTTTCCCATCTTCTCAGCTTCCTTTTCATGGTTTCTTGGACATCTGCTTTTTTGACTTGATGTCAGCCTACAACTATCTCACTTTTGTTAATTTGCTCCTTTTGTATCTCAGGATACTGACTCAAGGCAACCCCAGGTCTACCATGGCTCATTGTCATAAAGACAGTGCATCCCCATTTGAGATAGTAACGCTCCATCTTATTTTAATGTTTTCCTGCATCATTTATTATTTTGTTCAAAGAATTCTTCAGTATTGCCACTCTGTTTTTGAATATTTTCTTTAGTTTCTGAACTTGAGAATTGCTGAATGTGTGCTTCCCTTTTGGATTTCTCTTTGCACATTTCATTATAATACTTCAGCCTTCTCAAGTTATCTTTTAAAATTTGAGTTTGATCTTTATGAATTTTATTTAGTTTTTGACAAGTTCTAGTCTTTTTCCTGGGTTCATACTCATACATTACCCCTTCTCTTATCACTGAATATGCAGCTTTTTGTTCTGATTTTGAATTTTGCCATATCAGCAAAGGAAGATTTCAAAACCTGTTGCTCCACGTCATTAAAAATGGACTCTATTTCAAGGAGGCTGTTCTTAGTCATATTTTGAATGCCTTCCAACCTCAGGGACTCATCTCCTTGTACTATACTCAACTGCCATCAAGTCTTTTCCAATTTACAGCAACCCTGTACAGCAGGGTAGAACTGGCCCTGTGTTTTTCCAAGATTTTAACTCTTCTTTTTTGAGACTGTAACACTTTACTTGAGTAGAAAGCCTTCTCTTTTCTCCCATGGAGTGCCTCTTGGTTTCGAATTGCTCACCTTGTGATGAGCAGACCTACACTGAACGACTATGCTACCAGGAACCTTGGTTTCTGTACTATATTAACTAACTCACTGCCATTGAGTCGATGCTGACTCACAGCGAATCCTATAGCACAGGGTAGAACTAACCTTGTGAGTTTACAAGACCAACTGTTTACAGGAGTAAAAAGCCCTGTTTTTGCCCTGGGGAGTGGCTGGTGATTTTGAACTGTGCGGACCGAGGCCTAACATGTAACCTCTATGCCACCAGGCTGTGCTAAAGCAGACATAATTTATTGTTACTCATGAAGTTTTCAGAAATGGATTGCCTTTTCCTTCTTCCTAAACTCTCTTACTCTGGGAGCTCCACTGAAACCTGTCCACCATGGGGTGACCTTGTTGGTATTTGAAACACCAGTGCTGTAGCTCCTAGCATTATTGCAGTCCACAAGCCATACTGATCCACGAGTGGTAGCTTCTTTGTATTAAGAGCATATATCTTCTTACCATACATTTTCCAGAATTGGCCAGTGGGAGCCACGTACTTATTTTCAGAAGCATTTGGAAAAACTAATTCAACTGAAACTTTGAAATAGGCATTTTGATTCCACAATAAATTGAGTATGGTGGCCCTAAAAGTTTTGGAGGTACCTTTTTAGCTTTCATTGTGATGTCCACTTCACGGTGAGTGGTTCAAACCCACCAGCTGTTCCTTGAAAGAGAGCTAAGATTTGCTATTCCTGTAAGGATTTACAGCCTAAGAAACCCTATACACAGTCTCTATGAGTTAGAATCACTTGAATGCATTGGGCTTTTTGTTACTGTTTTTGTTGTTATGATGCCCTGTATTTTGATACTTATTTCTGTTTTGATAAAAAATTTGTCATTATCTGATAGTATAGCTGTGGTATCACATATTAATTCTTTGTGAGACAGGTTTAACTCTACTTTTTGTTGTCTACTATTAGAACGTTATATACATACCTATATATACACACACTCTTCTGTAGAAACCCTTAAAATTTCACTTCAATATCAGCACATGTTTTTATTTATTCATGAATGTGTTTTTATTGTTCCTGGTGACATAATAGGTTAAACATTGGATTGCTAACTGAAAGGTTGACTATTCCAACTCAACCATTTCCTCTGAGGGAGAAGATGAGACTGCCCCTGTATAAAGTAGCCTTGGAAACCACAGAGAGAAATTCTACTTTGCTGTGTGGGGGGCTGACGAGGGGTTTTCTCTTAGCTGTTCATAACTTGAGTTTTCTATGCTCTGTATCATACTCAATGTCTTAATTCTATACTTGTCCTGACCACTCCCATTTGGTTACCAGTCACTATCTTGCCATCAGATCCAAGGATCATTTCCTCTTATACCAGTGGCAGTTAACTCAGTTGATCTCTGCCTCTTGAGATGATTTCTTTATTCCATTTATTTTTTGTTGTTATTTTCCCACCTTTCTGGCATGTTCTTTCAGTTTCTTTTGGTAGTCTTCATTTGCCTGACCTCTAAACACTGAGGGTCCCAGGCTCAGATCTTAGATTAAAAAAATATAGAATGTAGAACACAGTAAAACATACACCAGCCAGTCCACCATTTTCTACGTGTACAATTCAGTAACGTTAATTACATTCTTCAAATTGTGCTATACTATTACCCTCCTTTTCTGCATTGTTCCTTGCTATTGGTCAAACTATTGTTTGGTTTAAGCAGATGTCTGTGAATATTTTGGTTTAAGATTTAGGTCCATGAAGCTCATCCAGCAGCCTCTGTTGGAGAATCTATGAGAATTTGAAATTTTATTTTCCATGTTTCCCCTTTTGATCAGGATTCTTCTGTAGAGACTGTGATTAAAATTTCAGCACTCGTAACTGGGCACCATCCAGCCCTGGCAATGGAAGCCATTGTTTATGGAGGCCGTTAGCCACACATTCATTTTCTCCTCCTATGCCTGACTCTCCTTCCTCTGTTGTTCCATGTGAAATCTTGGGAGATCATTATTTGTAATCACTTTTGTGGTTATATCATCCAGTCTCATGACTTAAAAAAAATCATAAAATTCAACTCACAAATACATTTATCGGTTGTACCAATTACTTTCCTGAATTCTGGACTCCTTTGTTCACTTGCTTTAGGTGTACATTAGACTTAAACTTCACATCCTAAACTGAACTCTAGATATTTACCCTCCTACTACTGCTACCATTCAAGTATCTGTTCTTCCTGCAGTTTCCCCATTTTTATAAATGACAATATCTTCCTTTGAGTTGCTTGGCAGACAGCTTGAAGTCATCCTTTACCTTCTCCCTTTTGGTCACATTCTATATTCTTACTGTCAGCAAATCATGGTGGATTACTTTTAGAATAGATCCAGAATCTGACTACATCTCATTGCCTTCACTCATGTAGTAGTTTAAGCCACTAGCATCTCTTAGCTGAATCATTGCTGTAATCATAACTAACCTTCCCACCTCTGCTGCTTGGAGTTTCTTTGAAGTCTTATCACACGACCCTTGTGCTTACAGTATTTCCTTCTCATTCAGAGAAAAAATGCTTCTGACCAAAAGGACACTAGTTAATTTTCCCTGGCACCTCTCTGATCTTATCTGTTACCCTCCCCTCCTTCCCTTACTCTACTCTAGCCCCCAATACTCAACCCATTCCTGTATTTGTTTTTTTGTCACTTCAGCAATGCCATCCTCAGACTGCTGCTGGCTACACAGTGCTTTTCTGGATTGTAGCAAAAGATACCATTTTCTTTATGTGACTGAGTCCTTGCACCCAAATACATAACTTGGAGAGCAGGTCAGGACCTGAATTTCAATTCCTACTTTTCCCTTTGGCCAAAAAGCTTGGCTTTCTCTGATAATTCTGTTTAAAAATAATATGCTTATACAAATATAGAAAGTTATATTTTATTTAAATAATGTATGTATAAGTATGTTCTAGATAAAATTATATATATATACACACACACATACACATGCACACTCTTTGCTCCTCCTCACATCATTTCCATGTATACTCGTATTACTGTGTATGTTCGAGTATTAGCCGACCCAAATATCAGCCAAGGCACCTAAGTTTACCACAAAAACTGCATAAAATATGTGCTGAAAAACTCGGCTTTTACACGAGTATATACAGTAGTCTTTGATTAATACAATTGCTCATCATCTAACATACATACTATTTAGTAAATAAATAATCCTTTACAAGATTTCATTTAATTATACTTTTAGAATTGCTTGCTAATGTTGGTTGATTAGTGGTTACAAAAACCCAATGATAGTATAATACCCTGTATGTTTCTAAGTCTCCTAATTCTCTCCAGTTGCCTCGACAGTCCACTAAATTAAATATGTAGTCATTGCTTTTTTGATTGATATGATATTTCGATTATATAGCTGTATTAAACATTTTTGTTAGCATTTAGGAAGAGAGAGATTACCTTATGTCTTTTTTTGTGCTGCCACTCAGAAGTCTTAGCTACGGTTAGCATTCAGTCTCTTAGTAGGATCCCATAGGTTTTTCAAGATACTGAATTATTTTGTATACATTTATAATCAATATTGGGAAATGACTGATTATGACGTTAACAAAAAGAGTGATATTTGAGGTCTAACCAAGAAATACTATAGCTAATCTTTTTTCCAACTCACCTGTAAGATAGAGGATTATAAAGTTGAATTGATTGGGAGCTTGGTGTAGTGGCAGTATCATCCCATACTGTTAGGAATAGACCTAGATTTTCAAGGCAGCTGTTTATTGCTTCAAAATGGGTTTAAATTTTTTTCTGTACCACTTTAAAATATTTAACATTCCCTCAGGATTTTCAAAAATTAATTTTTTTTGTTTTGTTTATTGTTTCCCCCCACCCTCCCCCCAGTTGTTGGTCTTGACGATATTATGGATGAAGGAGTTGTTAAAGAAAGTGGCAATGATACCATTGATGAAGAAGAACTGATTTTACCTAACAGGAATTTGAGGGACAAAGTAGAAGAAAATTCAGTAAGATCACCAAGAAAATCACCTCGTTTTATGGCACAAGGTAATCCCTCTGAAGAGGTCCAGGTAGAAAATCAGGTGTAGGGACAGATGTGTTAGGTTTTAAGTTTTCTGAGCAGAAGATATATTTAATATTTGCTAGGCTGGGCATTATTGATAGTGATTCATTTGAGAAATTATGGCAATACCTTACTGTGATAAATATTTTAATTCATATAATTTAAACATTGGACTAGTTCTATAAGATTTGTTAGAGTAAATAAATTTCCAGTACCTACTGCCATTGTTCCTTCTTGAGAAAGCCATGATTAAATCTTTCAACTCTTTTTTTTTAAATACTTAACTCCATAACTTTAAGTACTATCCATATATTGTTTTTGTTATTCTGACTTAGGCATTTATCTGTGACTTCCCATACTGGATGATGAGAATTTAGCATTCTTCTTTCATCATCCGCCTATAAAATTATATTTTCTTGGCTCCTAATAGATAATCTTATTAGTAGTAGTTTAGATTTTGACTATATGTGCTGCTTTTATTTTCCATTTGCTTAGCTTTCTAAGTACATAGTAGTAATTACCCTTAAATGCCTTTGCCGGTTGTCTCAGTTTTCTATTACACTGTTCGTGCATTTCAGGTATTCTGTCCGCTTCGTTTTACTGAAGAAGCCTTAGGGCCTTCTGATTGTTTCAGTGTGGGTTGAGGTAGCCTAGTAAGCCTGGTACATAAATGTTTGCTTGAGAGCTCCTCTACCATTCTTCTGAGGAATTTAGACTATGGTGTTCGTTTGTGTTTTGCAGTATTTTTGATTTGTATTTTCTTTGACATGCCTCATTTAGTAACTTCCTGAGAAACATTGACACTTGCCTGAAAATATACTTAATCAAATTTGAAGGTGGTAGTCTAGTACGTTCTTCTAACTGGTGTCGTTCCTTTTTTTTCCCCACCCTGTAAGTTTGTTGTGTTTTCTTCAGTGTGATAGTTCATGATAATGTGTCTTACATTGGGGCATATTTTGCGAGTTAGGCTGGTATGTTCTAGGCCCTTTTAGTGTGAAAACGTTTATTGCTTTTTTCTGGTAAGCTTTTCTTGGATTATTTCTTTGCTGGGACTTCATTTTTCAGAGAAAATGAACTGTCTTTCCCATTTTCTATATTTGCCCATTTTGCATCTTTTTACTGTAGCTGCAGAAAATGTTTCGTTTTATTCTCTAATCTTCCTAACAGGCCTTACATTTCTACTTTATAGGTGTTTTCTATTGAGAATGGTTCCGTTTTTTGTAACTTCTTGTACTCCCTTGGTAGATGCAATATCCTCTTTCTTAAAATGCTTATGGTGCATACTTCATCTTTGTTTTTTATGAGGCCACACACTTGAATTGCTCCTGGTTCCATAGTCCATGTTAAAAACTTGCCCCAAATGCCCGATTCTTTGTTAGCTCATGTTTAAAGGTAGGGACTATAAGTATTACAAATCTCTAAGATTTGGGCTATGTCAGGTGTTCACAATATGGTAACCTGACTGTACTGTCTTTTGGGAGGAACCTCTTTATCTCTAATACTATATTCCCTTAGGCTCATTAGGATGCCATTAAATGAACGATAAGTTACTTATTCTGGGATTCATTGAGGAAATCTGTCTGGGGACATGTCAGCTAACAGTACACAATTTCACTATACTTCACTGCTGTTTTCTACTGTGCTTGCTGTTCCAAACTTGCCCGGGAACCTTGTCTTAGTCTTTCTAGAGAGTAAGCATTTAGTCTTAGGCTAATGTTAGAGAAGGAAGGTGTTTAAGAAGTGAAAGGACCTGAGGATTTAACTACTCCTTGATTAACTTTAAAACTACCTTCATTTTCACCATCTATTTTCATTCTTGCTTTTGTGGCCACCAGCTTTTAAGTCTTTTGAGAAGTTTCTTGTGGTGTTCATGATGTTGGTGCGCTTACCTTACACTGCTTAATTAGTGTTTGTGTCAGTTGATTCTCTTAGATCAATTACTTCTTAATGACTCTTGTTTGACTTCCAAAATTTATCACTGCTTTCTTCTCTCCCTTGTTCTTTTTGGGAAAAAAAAATTTCTATTTCTTTCCTGTAGCTCTAGTAGAGATTTTAGGACTGAAAAACATAGATGCATTTGGTATCTACTTTTAACTTTGCCAAATGAATACAGTGATAATATTGATAAATTTGAACCCATACAAATCAGAAGTCAAATAATGCAGAAATAGTCAAATGATAAAAAGTGACTTTACCTTTTCTTTAATACGTTAATTACTATTGGAAAAAAACTAAGATTTTTGTTAGTTTTGCAATCAGGTAGGAAGTGTTAAAAATCCTTCAGTTATTTTATTTCAGGGTAAAGTAAAACTGGGAATTATATGCTTTATTAAGAGCTTCAAAGGTCCTGTAATATTGATAATCCTCATTTAAATTTTATATACTATTATCTGAGTAAGTGATAAACAATTCAAAATTCACTAAATTTAAAAAGTTGGTGATTTCTTACCTAACGACCAGAGGCTTAACTAATTTCTGGAGGAATTAGAATGCATCCTTAAGATTAGATTGGCCTTATAATTTACTGTCCAAACTCAGACACTTCTGAGAGTAAAATGATGCTGTTATTAATTAGGGTTTCAAGCATTTTGTGGGACTATTCCGGGCACATGAGGCTGTATGGTGCCTTCCCAAGATAATAAACGGCAAATGAGGGAAATGTCCTTAATTTGTGACATATAAGAGGGTTTTTCATGGATAGGTAGGGACTTTAATTACAAAAAAATTATAATCTCACATAATAGAAGTGAGTCAGAGAGGTTAGATGTGGCTAGCTGTGGAATTACTTCATATTTATTATTTTGGTGTTACAGACATTTTCTATCTTACGACTTAATTTAGGTCTTATTTATTCCAATTCCTTTTGACTCTTTGCTTTTCCTCCTCCTAGAGTATCAGGGGGCTTTATGAAGTTTGTGGGAAAAAATTTCTTTACTTTTAATGGCCTTTTTCCCTCGAACCTTTTGAAGCCCTCTCAGATCTGTATCAGGATGGGGAATGGAGGAAAGCCAACATTTAATACTCTTTGTTAAGGAGTATTGTTACTGGTAGAAAGTATATTTAAATTATTTCTGTACCTATTTTATGATCATGTTCTTAAATTAAAGCTCTGTAGTTTGGGTGATTTGTATGTGGTAGTCTAGTGTATACTCAATTTTTATTCTTTCAGCTTGAATGATAAAATGGTGACATAAGGTAATTAAGAGTTCTTTCAAAGCTGCACCTCTGAATTTATGCAGGTTCTGTGTAAGATTTGGTACTGCAGTTTAGATTAAATGCCACCTGACCTTGTTTGGCTTTACATATTTAACAATATTTAATGACTAAAACTGTAACAGTCTTACTTAAGATTGGCATCAATTATAACGGAAACTAATTTTACTTATTTTTTGGCAGCCTTTTATTAAAGGGAGATTTTAATGAAAAATTATTTTGTTAGTAAGATATATCAGTTTAGGTTTTAGAGAATTTCTCCCCCTTCCCTTGACACCAAAGAACGTAGATATAGATTTATAACATATACATATCAATCAGCACCATGAGTGATTCAGTACATTCAATAAATTTTCATTGAAATGAGAAAAACCTATATTATAATAGTTCAGAATAAGGAAATGATATGCTCTGGTTTGTATTGAAGTAAAAACACTTGACAAAATAGCTAAGTTATTTTTATTTTTTTTCCCTTGTGATAGAACAAGTAAGAAGTTTGCGACAAAGCACTATTGCCAAGCGTTCAAATGCAGCACCTTTAAGTAGCACAAAAAAAGCATCTGGGAAGACTCTATCTTCCCCTAAAGCAGGGGTAAGACAACCAGAAAGGTGTCAGATCAAAGAAGAAGTTTGCGCATCACCGAACATCGAGTGTCACAAAGAGAGAAGGAGCAGCCGGCATATTGGGCAAATGGAAGTGGTACCAGCAGTATCGGTGTCTTCAGGTCATTCTTCAGTGTCACCTTGTCTTGAATTGAAGGATGAAGCTGGGCTAGATTCTCTGAATAAATGCAATAATCAGGGAGAAGCAAATGTGCCATCTCATGAATTAAATTGTTCGCTTCTTTCAGAGACTTGCGTCAGTATTGAAGAAAGGAAAAATGAAGCTCCGATGGAATATAAAATCAAGCTTGTTAGGAGCCCGTTGTTTAAGTTTTCAGATAAAGAAGAGCATGAAGAGAAGGATTCCGTTTCAGATAGAATGCACGACATTGTCGAAGAGATGAGAACAGAGGGTAAACTGGAACAGGAATCAAAGGGGACAGTAAAATCTCATGGAGGTGATCAAATTGTTGAGGAACCTGGATCCTTTGGTGATACTGCTTATACAAATCCAAATAAAGCAAAAAAGAGCCTTGAAGGTTTGTCTGCTTCTGTTGGTGAGGCAACTGAATGTAATTTGGAATTAAAGAACACCATAGAAACCGATGATAACCAGTCACAGAGTGCTGAATTGAATAAATCAGACTTAGAAATGGTTGATACTACTGCTTTTGAACCAGAAAGTAATATTTTAGAAAATGCTTTATGTGATGCTCCTGACCAAAATTTACAACTGCATGCTGAAAGTATTAAAATGGAGCCCCATGAAATAACAGACCTTCAGGATGATAGAAACGGCCAATCAAGCAGTGTTTCTTATGTAGAGTCAAAAAACATGAAATCCAAACATATGAAATCCGCAATTCATTCTAAGCAAAACATGACCACAGATACTCCGAAGAAAATAGTTGCAACAAAGCTTGAAATAATGCATAACAAAAACAAAATTAACGTTAACAGTGTGAAACGAAATGCTGATGAACCAGAATCCCAGCAAAATTTTCATAGGCCAGCCAAAGTGAGAAAAAAACAAGATAATAAAGATTTAAAGATTCAGAGTAGCAGTTCTGGGGCTAGATCTGTCAAAAATCAATCTCATTTGGTATTTAAAAAAGTACCTCAGGATCAACACTCAGTACTGATGTCTAAACCCATAGCTCAGTCTTTGAGTGATAAGCCTCATGGTCATCCCACTTACACTAAAGAACCTCATCATCCAGCACAAACTGGGCATTTATCACATTCCAGCCAGAAGCCCCAACAGCAGGTCCCAGCAATGAAAAGCAATAGTCATGTGAAGGAAGGGCATGAATATGCAGGGGCAGAACATTTCAAGGAGGAAGATAAGCTGAAACAAAAAAAACCCGAGAAACATCTACAACCCCGCCAAAGAAGAAGCAGCAAAAGTTTTTCTTTGGATGAACCACCTTTGTTCATTCCAGATAATATAGCTACTGTAAAAAGAGAAGGCTCAGAGCATAGCTCCTCATTTGAAAGCAAATATATATGGACTCCCAGCAAGCAGTGTGGGTTTTGCAAAAAACCACATGGCAACAGGTGTGTGTGTGTGTGGGAGAGATATGTGTACATTTAAGCGATTGGTTTTTGGGGTGAGGGGGGGTATGTGGTCAATGTGAGAACTGTTTTACAAATAAAAATAATTTATTTACCATACAAAGGCTTTTGAATAAACAGACCTCCCTTTCATCAATCCTGGATATAGGCTAGAAAGATGGAGCTACTGAATTTACAAACATAGCATTGTAGAACATTTTACAAACTATAGTTTTGACCATCAGCTGGCACATATGGAATGTCATTGTAACCAGTTACACAGTAATTTAGTCATCGCATCTGAAAAACCAAACTTTTTGCTACACGAAACGTGGTGGTCTAAGTTCTATTTTTTTTTTTTTGGGAAGGGACTTGAATAATAGTGAAGGTTGTATTGGAAATTTTATTTTTATTTCAAGGGTTTTTTTTTTAAGTGAAGCATATTTATTGTGGCTTGATGCCACCACTTCATATCAAAGTGGACTTTGGAATTTGATAGCTGAGTCAGTTGTCAGATAAATGAAATTTGTATGTAACATGACAGAGGGAGAATATGTGTTTCTCTCTGAATACTTATTTCAAGGATTTCTTGTGAATTCTAATCTTTATAAAGTTTTAATTGCCCTTAGTCATTTGTCTGTAGGGTTCAGTGTTCTATAATTTATGACATTTTCCTTCACCTCTTCTTCCCCATTGTATTTTTTTGTTTTCGTTTATTTGCATGCTCTTTAAAGACAGAAGAAGTGGAGATTGCAGTTCAAGATTATCCTGTTCATGTGTTCAGATTGCTGTTGGAGCTCCCATCGACACTGATATGATAAATGAACTTGTATATTTTAATACCATTCTTACATCAACGTTAGAGTGATTACATGGAAATAAAACTCTTTAGGGAGTTCTTTTAGTAAAGTCTGCGGAACCTTTTGATGACGCTGTGTTGTTGGCTTGGTAGAATGGATGGGAAATACTGGGACTGTTCTATTACAAAAAAACTAAATTTCATGTCAAATTTTTCTTTGTGATTCAACCCAATGGTTCATTTTTAGTGTTAGAGGTTCCAGGCTATATTCCAAACTTTATAAAATTTGACTTTTTGGAATATAAGATGAGGCTTTCTGCTGCTTTAAAGATTTACAGTACTGCAAACCTCAGGGACAGTTTTACTCTGTCATGTAAGGTCTATATGAGTTGGAAGCGACTGAATAATAGTGAATATTTGAAAAGTAACATTTGCTTTTCAGTATTCTTTTAAGACAGCCCTGGTGGTATAGTGGGTGACACATTGGTTGGCCTCTTAATCACATAACACTGTCAGCCACTCCACGGGTGAAAGATGAGGCAAAGAGGTACAGTCTCATATTCTGTCCGTAAGTCAAAATTGACTCCGTGGCAGTGAGTTTGAGTTTATAGTTTTCTTTGCCAGAGTTTTCTAAAAAACACATTTAGTCAGAGAAGTCAGAGCCTTAAATGTGAATGAACTCTTAAGCTGGCATAGATTTGAAAATCATGTTCATATAGGTTACACTGTAGCACTTTGTAGATAAACATGCCAGAGACCTTGAGTGTGGAAAAAGTATCTTTTCCATTACCTTTTTGAAGTACCCTCATCATCTGATCACCAGCTTTATCAGGATTTTGCCCATCCATAGTCAGACGAGATAACCACTGCCACTGACTGGCCCACCCATCTCAGTGCCTCCTAGGGGATCTCTGATGAAATTTTAACTTTTTTTTTTTTTGTGCTCGTCTGGAAAATGACTTAGAATGTTAATTGACCTGGGTTCAAAAATAATGCATTGGTCAGGTTTGGAAGCAACATTTAACATTACGTAACTTCTGTGAATAAAGAAGCCTAAATAACTGATTGCCTTTTTTTCTTTACACATTACCTATCCATCACTATCTCTTTGATAACATTTTTCTTATACATTGCATTTACTTTTAAGATGTACTTAATATGTAGCATGGGTTTTTTTTCTATTTTATGCCATGTAAATTTACAATATAAATGTATAGGAAGAGGATTATGTGGAATTAATTTCCATTCCTTGATCTCATGCACTAGCCACATTAAAGCTATTTGGTAGTCAAGACACATTCCTAACTTTGGGACAGCTTTTCTTCTGAAAAGCTACTTTAAACATGTTAACATTTTGCATGTAGTTCAGTTGAGGTTAACTTCCTTGTATGTACTTCCAATCGAAAACTATTTTATAACAGGTTTATTCATACCATGGCCACATGTTATATTTGATGATAATCATTTAATAAAAGACAATAGGTATGACTTATAAATTATATGTCATACTCATGATTCTGTGTAATGGTTCTGATTTCAACTTTTTAAAACATCTAATACTTCTTTCTAAAAGAGGGGGTGATCTTTGAACTATAAAAAAAATAAACCAAAGGAAGAAGTCTTGGATTTTTTCTATCATTATTTACTTACCTTTCCAAAAGACTTTTTGTCTTTGGTTTTCAATAATTTGACTACTTTATAGAGGATTAGCATATTGGGATGAAACTAATAACAAACCTCCCTAATAAAATGGATTCATACTTTTATACTCAGTCCTTTTACTGAGAAGGGATTATTCTAGAAGGGTGTGTTTTCACAAGACTTAAAAAGTCTGTAGACAATTTTTCCTTGCAGATTTAGATTATTAGTAACACGAAAAATATGTGTGGAATAGAATTCTTTCATCTCAGAAAAATATGTACACGTTTACAATAACTTGGGTTTATACTGTCATTTAAAGGACACTACAATTGAAGGCAGATCTTGTAACAGCTATATTAGCCAACTACAAGGAAATTACTCAGAATAGTAATCATCGTTGCCTCCAGTTTACTTGGAAGGAATTTAAAGTTTTCGAAATATTTTTTGACTTGTACAAAGTTAAGATTAGTAATTAAAATGAGTTGCCCATAGTGGTCTTAGGTCAGTATTTATATTTTTTAGTATTTTGTGTATGAACATGTAACACCAAGAGAAGAAAGCACAAATGTGGAACTCTTCAGTTAACTGATTCATACTATTATAATTACTTCATAAAGAGTGGAACACACAACATAGATGCTCTCTTAAAAAAACATGCAGCTTATAGTTTTTCTTGGATTTCAAAGTTGTTTGCCCTATCTCTTACATGAAATCTAAATAAGGTGTATCTAGGTAGTACTAGAGGTCTACTTTTCAGTCTGAAGTTTGAGCCAGACATTTCAAAAATTTGGAATGAGGGGTGGTGATTAATTGATACATTTCACGCTAAAAACCATTCTTTGGCCAAATGAAAATTTAAAAAATTTCAGGATGTCTTATAATTTGACTGACCTGGGTTTCGAGCAAAAGCATTGCTATAGGTTTTTAAGCAATAAACTTCCTTTGAAGAAATAATGTATGCTGATGTTATATAGCATACCTTCAGTATTTCAGAGACATTAGTTCTCAAGAATTAGCAGTTCTTGTTGCTTTGCAATGTGAATTGCAAGCACTTTACAGCATGCATGATTAAAATATTTTATATACTGGCTGGAAGATCTATCACTGAGAAGTTAGGAACCCACCAAAAATCTCAAACCTAATTTTATTTTACAAAGATTCCAAGTGTGGGTCCAAAATGTGTAGTTTAGAGAGTTGTGGTTTTTTGTTTCTTAACTACTGGGGAGAGGTAAATTAATAAAGTTAAGAAATGCACTAGAGTAAAAGAGGAATTCCAGGTATGGTGAAGCCAAATGTACTCAATGCACTGCAGTGATTTAGTACAAAACAGGCAGACACAGAAATTACTGCTATTCAGGGATATGGTGCTGGTTATACTTTTAAGACCATGTAAGGATTAAATCCCAAGTGGCCTAATTTCTTACAGTTTGCTATTAAGAGAGATCTTTAGTACATTTCAGGAATTTGGGCCTAACACCTTCCTACCAGTCCATATGCAATGTCGATTATCAGTGATGTAGGCACCTTTATTAAGGAATACATATACCAACACTTTTGTATCAGTCTTTGGAATATACTTTGAGTTGCTATCCCTACAGAGGAATAGTGGAAATATTAGCATTTTAGTATTAGGCAAGATGTGCAATATTACTTAAACATTTTTAAGAGGGATTTTCAAAATGGCCATTTTATATTACTTAATTTGCCATTCAAAATCCCCGATTCTCTAAAAATATTTTGAAAGTGAAAAATCCTATGCCTTTGTATTGCTTTTGGTTAGTGAAGTTGACTCGAGCAAAATACAGTAAGGGGAATTCAGGTTTTCCTGACTGAGAATATTCAACCTGAGAATCTCTTTATACTAAGGATTATGCTGATCTAAATTTGGAAAAAAAGTATCTAAAACACATGGTCAATACTAAGACATTCACACTCAAAGGTACATAAAAGGGAGAATCAGTTGAATCTATTTTGAGCTTAGAGAATAATTGTAGTTTGAACTGTTCGGTGGACAGTTGGCTAGTTTTCTTAGTTATACTTTTTGCTGTTTTAAAGTCCTTTATTATGGTTTGTTGAATTCTCCATTTTTGTGTGTAATTTCACATTTGTGTGATACTATTGTTACTTACATGGATTGTGATCAAGTTATAAATCATCACAGACATCTCATGAAAAAATATTCATGCCTGGGTCGTCATTATTTTCATCGCTGTGGTTTTTTGTTTGACTTATTTATGATGTATTTTCTTAGACCAAGAGGGGAAATAATTCTAAATCTTAAAAGTTCCATTTGTACGGAGTAGTTTTTTTCATTGAAACCTTGTTCATTGAATTATGAAATGAATAAATTTGCAGAATATGTAGACTATCAGAAAATCAAGTATTGGGATTTTTTTTTTTTTTAGATTAGAAACAGTTGTCTTTTTAAAGGCTATATCAAATCTAATAATCTTTTTATACTCCCCCAGGTTTATGGTTGGCTGTGGGAGATGTGACGACTGGTTTCATGGTGATTGTGTTGGATTAAGCCTTTCCCAAGCACAACAAATGGGAGAGGAAGACAAGGAATATGTGTGTGTGAAATGTTGTGCTGAAGAAGATAAGAAGACTGAAGTCTTAGATCCAGATCTTTTGGAAAACCAAGCTAAAGTTGAAATTCATAGTGAAGATAAAACAATGGACGGTGAAAAGCTTGGGTTATCAAAGCACACCTCAGCACACGAGAAGAACAAGTATATAGATGATACAGTGAAGCATAAAGTCAAAATTTTAAAACGGGTAAGTTTATGAATGCCGCCGTTTGCCATTTAACAATAATATGAAATGACAGAATTTTGACATTTTATTTATGATGCTAAATAAAATTAGTATTTCCATAGAAATAAATGATGGTTTACTTTAAATTCTGTCAAAATTCCTTGGAGAAACAAGGTGATAACATATTCAGATTATTCAAGCATTATTTGGTTTGTGCTATTTTGTTTCTTGGATTTTCTGTGTGTGGATGTGTGTGTATGATCTTGTAGTCAGAGTCTAATTGAACTTGCTGATAGTTTCTTAAATTGTAGTGTAGGTGAAGGTTTATTGAGAAGATTTTCTATGCAGCAAGTTACATACATTTGATTGTAGTATAAGAGTCCCGGTGGCATAGTGATTACGAATTGGGTTACCAAACAGCAAGTTGGCAGTTTGAAACCACCAGCCAATCTTGGGGGAAAGATGAGTTGCAGTTACATAACGGCATGAAGCAGAGAACCAGTAGATGTCTGAGGGGCTGGCCCCAATCCCAACTACATGGACAGTCCTCCCTCCCCCCAGAAGAATTTACTTCAGAGGACAGCACTGAAGCTACAGCTTGGGGAGGGACATGTTTGATCAGAGCACACCAGAGCAAATGAAGGGAGAGGAAGAGAGAGTGGATCACATCATGGCCAACCAAGCCCTGAGGACGATATTCTCGCTCAGAGCTCAGAGCAGCCAGTGTACAGAGAGGACCATAGGACTGGCCCCACTAAGAGACGCGATGTCCCTCACTGGCCTATATAGCTCTACAGAGGACAACACTGGAGACAGTGTGGGAATTGTACCTGATCTGACCCAACAACGCTGAGGTGAAACACTAAGGGTGTGCAACCGAACAGCAAGGGGAACAGAGCAACGAAGTCCCTGGGGAATACTAAATATAGATTTGGGGGCCAGGGTGTGGCACCCCATCAGACTAGACCAGAAAACACTCCTAAATGTCAAGAAACAGACTTTGAACTATTTATAGGCTTTTTTTGGGTTTTTGTTGTTGCTTTGCTTTCTTTTGTTGCTTTGTTTTGCTGCCTTGTTTTTGTGCATATTAATATCTCTGCAGGTCTATCTAGATAAGATAGGCTGGATAAACAATCCAGAGGAGAAAACAACAGGACCGATGATTTCAGGGGGACATGGAACAGGGGGAGGTGAAGGGAAAGGAAGTGGTGTTAACAAACTCGGGGACAAGGGAACAACAAGCAATCCAAAATCAGTGGCAAGGAGCGGGTAAGAGGCCTGGTGAGGCTTGATCAAGGGCAATGTGACCAAGAGGAATTGCTGAAACCCAACTGAAGACTGAGCAGGATAGTTGGACAAGAGGAAAGTAAAAGGAAATAGAGGAAGGAACTAGGAGGCAAAAGCATTTATAGAGGTCTAAATACAAGCATATAGATATGTAAATATATTTATGACAATGGCGAAATAGAGAAATAGATCTATGTACATATATTTATAGGTTTAGTATTATGGTCGCAGATGGACATTGGGCCTCCACTCACGTACTTCCTCAATGCAAGAACACTTTGTTCTATTAAACTGGCATTCCATGATGCTCACCTTCCCGACACAATTGCTGAAGACAAAAGCGGGTGCATAAGTAAACGTGGTAAAGAAATCTGATGGTGCCTGGCTATCAAAAGATGTAACATCTGGGATCTTAAAGGCTTGAAGGTAAACAAGCGGCCATCTAGCTCAGAAGCAATAAAGCTCACATGGAAGAAGCACACCAGCCTGTGTGATCATGAGGTGTTGAAGGGATCAGGTATCAGGTATCAGGCATCATAGAATAAAAAATCGTATCATTGAGAATGAGGGGCAGTGTGGAGTGGGGAGCCAAAGCCCATCTGTAAGCAACTGGACATCCCCTTTAAAGAAGGGTCACAGCAAGGAGAGGAACCAGTCAGGGTGCAGTGTAGCAACGATGAAACATACAACTTTCCTCTAATTCTTAAATGCTTCCTCACCCCCACTATCCCAATTCCACCTTACAAATCTGGCTAGACCAGAGGATGTATGTTAGTAAAGGTAGGAACTAGAAACAGACTCCAGGAGAGATGAACCCTTCAGGACCAATGGTAAGAGTGGCGATACCAGGAGAGTGGAGGGAAGCTGGGGTAGAAAGGGGGAACCGATCACAATGATCTACATATAACCCCCTCCCTGGGGGACAGGCAAGAGAAAAGTGGGTGAAGGGAGACGTTGGACAGTATAAGACATGAAAAAATAATAATTTATAAATTATCAAGGGTTCATGGGGAGTGGGGAGGGAAAAAAATGAGCTGATGCCAGAGGCTTAAGTGGAGAGCAAATGTTTTGAGAATGATGAGGGCAGTGAATGTACAAATGTGCTTTACACAATTGATGTATGTATGGATTGTGATAAGAGTTGTATGAGCCCCTAATAAAATGATGAAAAATAATAATTTATAAATTATCAAGGGTTCAAGAGGGTGGAGTGAACGGGGAAGTGGGGACAAGTGAGCCGATACCAAACGCTCAAGTAGAAAGCAAATGTTTTGAGAATGATGATAGCAACAAATGTACAAATGCTTGACACAATGGATGTATATCTGGATTGTGATAAGAGTTGTAAGAGCCGCTAATGATTGGAAAAAAGAAAAAGTTGCAGTCTCAGAAACCCATGAGTCAGAATTAACTTGATGGCAGTGAGTTTAGGGTTTTTTTTGGCTTCTATATAGCATTGGCTATCATCCCCGCGGTGTTTTTAGCTCTCTTCCCACTGCTTCCGTGGGTACTCTGTTCTATTCACCGTTCTTTTCTGGCCTTTCCTGCCTTCTGAATTTTGCTTTTGGGCAAATACTGCCCTCTGGTCTCCTGTGATTGATTGAGGAGCACATGCTTATGGGTTGTGTGGTGTAATGTAATTTATAGGTCTGAGAGCTGCTTCTTGAGTGTGGGCTCATTTCCAGGCTTCAAGGTGTCTAAAGGCCACAATCTTACTGTCAAACTTGTAAATCTGGTCATTTTATGGTTTTTAATTTTGTACATTTTTTTCTCCCTCCCTCTGTTTAGCGCTTTCTATTACGGTCTTGATCCGAGTAATTAGTAGTGGTAGCTGGGCACCATAGAGTTCTTCTGGCCTCAGGAAAGTGGAGGTTGTCATGAATCTCCAGGACTGATTATTTCCTTTAGTATTTGATTTTCTTTGCTCCAAATGAGCAGAGAACTGTAGTGGCATTTTAGAAACCCACAGGACAGTTGTACCCTGTCCTGTGGGGTCACCATGAGTCAGAATTAACTTGATGGCAGGGACCACTCACAAGCTCTTTAGAACCCACTCACCACAGTAGAATGTAGAACATTATTTTTGTGGGACTATGTTTGCTAATTGACCTAGATACCCTCTAAGACTATTTTCTAAATCCTCAAGTCTGTTTCTAATTCCCTAAGCACAAAGTCATTACCTGAAATCTTTGATTATATCTTAAGAAAGTTTTAGAACTTTGAGCCTTATATGAGCATTTGAGTTGTTTAAATTGTTTTGTTTTTGTGAATGCTGCTGCAATGAACATGGTATGTATATACTTGTGTGTATATACTTGTGTATATCATAGCTCTTATATCTTTAGGGCCTATACCTATTAGAGGGAGTGGTAGATGGGTAAATTTTCCAAAAAAATTTTAGTCTGCTAATCTCTACCAATTTTTAATCCAGTTTGCATGATTATTTTCAAGTAGGAGGGTTATTTACTTTGTGTAAAGAATAGTAATATTAATTCTTTTGAGCTATGTTCCAGTATTTGCTTTGTGCCTTCATCTCATAATTTTTTTCTTAAAATGTGAACTCTTAAAATTGTCTGTATTCTCTGGCTTTATATTTTTAAGTACTTTTAAAAAATGTCTTTGAAATAGACATGTCAAGATATTTAGATTCTAAAATGACCACTGGAGGCACTGTGGGGTAAGCACTGAACTGCCGGCCACAAGTGGCTCTGCAGGAGAAGGATGAGGCTATCTCCTCCCGTAAAGATGTATAGGCCACATGCAGCCCGCCGAGGACATTTATCTGGCCCGCCAGGTGTTTTTTTTGCCCCGTTTTTTTTTTTTTTTTTTACTTCAAAATAAGATATGTGCAGTGTGCATAGGAATTTGTTCATAGTTTGTTTTAAACTATAGTCCGGCCCTCCAACGGGTCTGAGGGACAGTGAACTGGCCCTGTTTAAAAAGTTTGAGAACCCCCGCTATAGAGTTGTTATCCATTGGAATTGACTAGGTGGTAGTGAAATTTTTCAATAAGAGAAGTATAAAGAATAAACATTTCATGGGATTGTATTTTTGTCTGCTGCTTATTCATGAATTTTATAATCACTGCTTTGCTTTTCTTATATGGTCACATTGATTATAAAAGTTAATACTGGGAAGGAAACAAGGTAGTAACAAATATATGTTGACATACTAGTCTTATAATCTAAAGACAAAGAACATGAATTTTAAAATTGGAAGGAGCCTTCGATATAATTTGGTCTAACCATTTCTGATTTGTTAATACTCTACATACTATTTCTAGTAATTGATGATGACCCAGACTGTATTTGAAGACAATGGATGCATCTTAATTTTCTAGCAGTTATAGTTGTTAGAAAGTTCTTAAGTTTGAGCAGCTATTTTCACACCCGGAAACTTTTTCTTGCTAAAGTCTTGCAAATAAATAAGTAGGGTAGTAATTCCATTTGAAGGGCATTAGTTTGTTTTCCTCATAATTTGCTTGTTTTTTATAACCAGATTTTCCCCAGACACTTTACAGAAAAATCTTATGGGCTAAGGTCCAGTTTGCAAAATCCTTGGCCTTCCAACATTTTCTGTCTTGGCAACGAGTTTTTGAGAATCAGATTCTGCCCTTCTAGTGCTTGATATTGCTGTATCTGTTGTTTTGGCTAATTTTAAATTAATTGATGATAAGGACCCGAGAGTCCCTTTAAGAAAGCTTTTAGCATACCTCATTCATCATTAATGTATTTATCATTAGTCATCACTTACATATAATTTCTTGACCATTTAGACTAACATTTTATTGTCATTAGGGAGCGTGGCGGCATAGTGGGTACGAATTGGGCTGCTAACCACTGTATACCATCAGTTTGAAACCACCAGCTGTTCTGACGGAGATGAGACTCTTTACTCCTGTGAAGATTTATGTAGAACCCACTATGTATGTAGAACCCACAGGAGCAGTTTTACTCTGCCCGATAGGGTCATTCTGAGTCATAATCTACTCTGTGGCACCAAGTGTATTGTCATTCAACTCAGTTGTCTTCATCTTGCCAAAAAAGATACTAGAAAAATATTAGCACTGTTAGTGTTTTGAGAAGTGCCGCTATCTACCAGTTTATCTACCTAATAACAGAAAAGAAAATGAGACTAGTCTTTCTTTGAATTAAATGCCACATGTTTTTGATAATGAACTGTTGAAAATCTTATTGGCATTTGTCTAGTTGTAGTTTTTGAAACTTGCTTTTCAAAAGTCATTTTTTATCCCTTAATTTTATGTTGAACCATTTCTTGGCATCTTTATCTGTGTCAAGTATGGTCCTGCAGAAAATAAGGTGCCTGCTTAACAAATGAGTTTTGAATATAAGGGTAAATCTTTCTGCTGGTAATCAAGAGTTATTTTCACCCATCCTTTAAAAAGTCTTTAAACAATTGCTAGACTAAAGAAAATGTTTGGTGTCTTAATAGGTTTTAATATTGTTTAATATTTTACATCCATAATTCATGAAACTTGGTTTATATTTCAAAGATAGCTTAATGATTTTTATTCTAATGAATGACGTACTATTTTTCAGGAATGTGGTGAAAGCAAAAGCTCATCAGAATGTAGAGATAGTGAAATTAAAAAATGGCAGCTAGCCCCTGTTCGAAAGACGGGACAACCAGTTTTATCTCGGAAATCCTCAGAAGAAAAAAGTGAAAAAGTAGCAAAAGAATCTACTACTGTTATTTGCACAGGAGAAAAAACTTCGAAACCAGGTAGTTGAGACTAAAATAAATGATCATATAACTAATCTATTTAGATTTTATGTCATACACTTTCTATTAGTACATTTCAGAACTGAAAAAAATGTTGTTTTTTTTTAATGGCAATAATAATTATTTAGGTGTTTGACCTTACTCGAGATTAAAAACTATTGCTTTAAATTCTGAAAACTCACTGGTGAAATTTCAGAAAGCAGAGAAATGATGAACTGAGTCATCTGTTGAACACAGATTGGTAAATCTGTGGCAGCAAATGGAGTGGGTTGACTCGAGTCGTTTTGACCATCAGTGGGAAAACACGGTAATTTGATTGTCTTAGAAAAGAAGAGAAGAGGAGGAACTTCAGGTACTGATGTCCGATAAAACTCTTAAAGGAGTTTTGGTGTTTAGGGGAAGAGAAAGACTGGTAAATACAGAGTCAAGGAATTAAAAAATAATTTTAAGGAGATGCTATAACTTATAAAACTGATTGGAATTATTCAGTTGAGATGGAGAACTTCATAAGGCAGGAGAGAAATGATAGTTGAAGAGCAAATGTACCCTGAAAACAGCAGTGGAATTAGACGCACTCGGTATGGTCATTTGGGGTCAACAGGGACGGCTTACCCGTTGTAAGAGGAGGGTCTTTAAAAAACTCGTGGAAATAGAATTGAAAATAGAAGTTTTCCACAAACTTTTTGAAATCCCAGTGTATGTAGTAGAAGGAAAGACAGGTAAAATTTAGTAGATTTGATGTTGAGTAGGTGTAATAGCTTACAATTTCAATTTTCTCAATGTAATATGAGGTGAGAAAATCAAATGAGGTTAAAGTTGGAGAAGGAGGTATTTTTGGCTTAAGAGCAGAGAAAGTGTGGAATAGGTTTCTTGGGAAATAGGAAGACAAATTTACTATGGAATATAACAAGATTGGGATAGCAGATGAGATTCCTGTTGAGTGCTGTGGTTATAAAGTGAAATATACCAGCAACTGTCTTTTCTAGTAAATTTGAGCTGTTTGTAGGCTATTTGTGTGAAGAATGAAAACTGGTTTTACCAACACAAATGTTTAAAGTAGATGCACTTAAAGGTGTTAAACTATACACGGAAATGGTGATAGTCTTAAACTATCCAATTTAAGTTGGATATTTGGGTAAATGAGGACATAAAGATAAGTAAACATTGGGGGATGAGAGAATTCTAGAAAAATGAGATAGTATGATACTTAAAAGTGAGAGTAGTTGCATGCTTGATAATGAGATTTTCAAGATGCTTATGAATTTTAACAATTGAGAAGTTTAAAAATCAACAGAACGGGTTAGCACTGAACCTAATAATCACATCAAGCACAAGTAGACTATAAAAGACTCATACATTTTGGTGTATTAGTAAATCCTTAAATTAATCTGCCCAACTAAGGTTAAGAAGAAATTTCTAAATAACTTTTAAAAAGTTAATAAATACACATAAATGAAGACTAGCCTCTTGAACACTATGAATGCTGTTATCTAAAACGAGAAAAGGGTACCCTATATACTCGAGTATAAGCTGACCCGAATATTAGCTGAGCCACTTAATTTTACCACAAAAACTGCATTTAAAGTGTGCTGGAAAACTCAGCTTATACACGAGTATATACTGTACACCCATAGCTTCAAGGCCATTAGTTAGTCATGATTTTTTGTCAGTATATATTATAATTAAAATTTCAGTGTCAAGGAAATGTTAATATGGAAATAGTTCCTATTTTATTTCTTGTGATTTTCAGACAATTTTGATTATAACTTTGCAGTTTAGTGAAAAATTACTTGTAATAAACAATTTCATAAGCTTGACATTTCTTTAAAATAGGTGCTCATGAGAAGTCAGAGATAAAAAAGAAGAAGGTTGATAAAGGGGGCGTGCCTAATGTGCATCCAGCTACTGGTCCTGCTTCCAAACCTTCTGCAGATCAGATCAGACAAAGTGTAAGGCATTCCCTCAAAGACATCCTTATGAAAAGGTAACAGATTATTATTGTTTAAGATGGAAAAGTAATATGCTCTCCTAGTGTTTGAAAAATAATTGAATTGTTTTAATTTTAAGACTTACAGACTCAAATTTGAAGGTACCAGAGGAAAAGGCTGCAAAAGTTGCCACAAAAATTGAAAAAGAACTTTTCTCTTTTTTTCGGGACACAGATGCTAAATATAAGAACAAATATAGAAGTTTGATGTTCAATCTGAAAGATCCCAAAAACAACGTAAGTTGGTTTTTTTTGGGGTCATACCTATGGATATTTATACTTCAAAATGTTTAGAATATGAAATGATCTAACAATGCAATATAGTTGATCTGCAATTTATTTCTTGTGGTGAAAATGTAGAAATAAATTGTGAATGTAGAACATTGGTGCAATATGAGGTAATTTTTGGAGTACATGGACAGTTAATTAAAAAACATTGTCTGATTGTCTGGAGAGATCCAGCCCCTAAGAGAACAAGCGACCTGCTTGGTAAAGGTAGAGGGTCAGTGGGAAAGAGGAGGCCCTCACTGAGTTTGATGGACACAGGCTGCAACAGTGAGCTTAAACTAACAATTGTGGGGATGGCAGCAGGATCAGGCAGTGTTTTGTTCTTTGGTGCATGGATTTGCTGCTCTCAAGGGAGTCAACAGTTCTTAGAAACAGCAGTTTAAGCAAAATGCATATTGTACAGTACCTGCCATTATGGCCCAGGAGGTCTAGGTACTTCATGATTAAATAATTTGGGAACTTTTCTTCAATAAACAAAGAATTTAGGTTTCTTTCTTTCTTTTTTATTAAATACTTTTATTGGGGGCTCTCACATCTCAACACAACCCATACATTCACCCAGTATGTCAGCACATTTGCTGCTATCATCATTTTGAAAGCATTCTCTTCCCACTTGAGCCCCTGATATCAGTTCGCCATTTCTGCCCCCATCCTCCCTCACGAACCCTTGATAAGTTATAGATTATTATTTTCATATCTTACAACGTCATCTGTTGCCCCTCACCCACTTCTCTGTTATTTGTCCCCCTGGGAGGAGGCTGTAGATTGATCCTTGTAATCGATTCTCCTCTTTCTCCCCCCACACTGCCCTATTATCCTGGTATCGTTACTCTCCTTATTGGCCCCAGGGGGTTTATCTGTCCTGGATTCCCTGTGTTGCGGGCTCTTATTTGTGCATGTTCTGGTCTAATCCGATTTGTAAGGTAGAATTGAGGTCATGATAATGGGGGGAAGGAAGCACCAAAGAGCTAGAGGAAAGTTGTGTGTTTCACTGGTGCTATACTACACCCCGACTGGCTCATCTCTTTCCTGTGACCCCTCTGTGAGGGGATGTCCAACTGTCTACAGAAGGGCATTGGAGCTCCACTCCAGCACCCCACCCCACCCCCCATTCACAGTGGGCATGATTTTATTCTGGGTCTTAGATGCCTGATTAGGTTTCTTTCTTATAGAGTTAGCTCTGTGCTCTAGAATCCCCTCCAAGTCTATCAGAATTTGAACATATAAAATCTTAGAAATATGTAAGACATTGCATTCAGTAAAGCTCCTATTTTTATTTTTTTCTTTGGTAATACCTTGCTGTACTACAGATTGCTTATTGTGCTGATTAGAGTATTACACTTAGCAGAACTTTGGATCGATAATTATAATGACTCCACTATACATGCTTTTCCATTATGGTTTTTTTTATTTGCTTTTGTTGTTGTTTTTGGTGAAATGTATATTTTTTTCTCCCTCATATGATAAATTGCGTGTTACACTGCTGTCATTTCTTTGTGTAATAGATAATACAAGGGATCAAAAAGTTCATAGAAAAATGAAATGAAAAGATAATGTGTTTTTTCATGAACTTAAAAAAAACCTTATGTATAAAATATTAACCAAATATAACTCTGGTTTTAAACTTACCTGTTTATTATTAGTTTCCTCTAAAGTAGAACCCCCTCTTTTAAAAAATCTTTTTGACTCCTTCTTTCCCATTTTGAACCATTACAGATATTATTTAAGAAAGTACTAAAAGGAGAAGTAACCCCAGATCATCTTATAAGAATGAGTCCAGAAGAACTCGCTTCTAAAGAGTTAGCTGCTTGGAGACGAAGAGAAAACAGACATGTAAGATTATCTGCGCCTATGTGTTTGACTATATCAAAACCCATCTTTTTCAGTCAGAGGGTGGAAATTATGCAGAGCTAATTCATCAGTTTGCCCGCCAGCACAGGCTTTATTTTGTGCTGTTGATTAACTTCATTTTTTGATGGTTAACTTTTAGCCATCTAATTCTTAAATTTTTGTCTTTTATATTTCTGTATCTGTATAGCTTTTGTCTGATTCCTTCCATTGTCAGATCACCTGTTTTGTCATTATGTTTTATAAATTAGGATGAGGGCAATAACTGCATTGTTTTGTATTTTTTTGTAGTTGCAGTGACCACACAGAACTCAGACCTAACTCACAATTAGGGGAATTTATTAGGGGAATTAGCAGGTACACTGGTGGCATAGTTATGTGTTAGCCTGCTAAATACAAGGTCCGTAGTTCAAAACTTCCTGAGACTAAGTCTTTATCGGAAAAGACAGCCTCATCTTTCTCCCATGGAACGAGTGGTTGGTGGATTTGAACTGCCAACCGTGAGGTTAACATATAGACACCTAACTCATAATGCTACCAAGGCTCCTTGCCATTTAACAAATGGAAAATAAATTATATCCCTGTTTACTCCATTATCTTTCAGCTGCCCTTTACTATTTCTTGCAAGACCTCCTTTGTTTTTATGTTTTGTTGCTGAACTTGTTCAAATATGAATTATCATTACTACTAAGCAAACTAAGCTAGGAAATGACTGATACAGAATTACCTTATTGTTTTTAATATTTAAATATAATACCTTTTATTTTAGGAGCATAAGAGCAGCATATATCTCTTGTCTTTGTGACACCTACTAAATGATTAAATCAGAAAATAAAATTTAAAATATAAATACCATGTGTTTCATCGCTTTAAAAATTAAATTGCACTTTATTCATCTCTTGCTAATGTACGTGTCAGCTTCTCGGGGCTAGGATATAGGGCCCCATCACCAAAAGCAGTTTCTGTCATCTACAAGTATGCAGTAGTTTGTGGTACAAAAGATAAGCTAAAAATGAAAGAAAAAAAGTTCAAATTCTCCCACTTTTAGGTGAGCTGTCAATATTTAGTTACACACTTAGAAATACATATGTTAAATTGCGGGGTTTTATTTATTTGTGTTTCCTGTTAGACCATTGAGATGATCGAGAAAGAGCAGAGAGAAGTTGAAAGACGACCAATCACAAAAATAACTCACAAAGGTGAGATAGAAATTGAGAGCGATGCCCCGATGAAAGAGCAAGAAGCTGCCACGGAGATTCAGGTGAAAACCAAAATCAGATGTCATGCTATAGTGCTTTACTCATGAAGCGTCAGACAAGATTGACTAGGGTTCTTAGACTGTTTCATTGGTCTATTTTTAAAAATATGTTTAGAGTATGGTTTCTCGGTATGGAAATTGCATACAAGGCAATATATAGAGTGTTGCACACATACTTGCTAAACACTTGTAAAATGTAGATTACTGGGGTCTCCCATTGACTTCAAGAATTTTAGAAATCTTTAAGTGCTTTCTATGCAGAGTACGGTTTGAGAGCAGGTGAAGCCTTGGAGTATGTTAAGATTTTGTTTAAATCCCAGTAGCTAGCATTTGTTTTTTGAGGAAATAGTAAAAACCTATTAATGGAGCAGTCTGGCCTCGGTTCAAGTGTCTATGAACTAAGGCCAACCGAAAAGTGGATGAAGGGAGACGTCGGACAGGGCAAGATATGACAAAATACCCATTTATAAACTATCAAGGGCTCATGCGGGAGGGGGGAGCGGGGAGGGAGGGGAAAAATGAGGACCTAATGTCGGGGGTTTAAATGGAGAGAAAATGTTTTGAGAAACGATGTACAAATGCGCTTTACACAATTGATGTGTGTATGGATTGGGATAACAGTTGTATGAGCCCCTAATAAAATGTTAAAAATAAATAAATAAATAAAACTACTTTTCACACTTTTTTTTTTTGCTAGGAATCTACAGCCAATAAGTCATTGGAGAAAATAGAAGAACCTGAAAAGCAAAAAGAGGACATTGACTCCATGTCAAAAGATACCACCAGCCAACATAGACAGCATCTTTTTGATCTTAACTGCAAAATTTGCATAGGTATTGGGAAATTTTTCTTCCTAAAATGTTGACTTTATTTTGAAAGTGAGACACTTGTTTTTGCATACCAATATGTATAATTAGATTTTTGTTTCCCTTGTATTGGTTTTATGGGGTCACTGTTAATGAATCAAAACGTGAAGTTTGGAGGGGAAATGGCTATACAACAATACAGATTTTAATCTTATCTCCTCAACTGAATCATGTGCCTTTCTCCTCTTCCTGAATTCATTTCAAGCTGATGACATTCATAGTAACTAGAATGGGTTTCCCCTATGTTTTTGTAAGCACATACATATATAAGAAAGAATATTTGTAGTTATGCAGTATATCATGCTATAAAATATTATTTCATGTACTGATAATAAATTAAGATAATAATCTCAAAGTCTACTTCTGTAGCCCATGTTAAATATTTTGATATTTTATCTAAGAACAGTTAATACTGATTAAAGGGTTTTTAGCAGGCAAAATTATAAATAACATGATGAGATTAAAATTTTATGAAAATCTTGGGTTTTTGAATACAGGTTTTGTGAGGGTAAGTCAAGAAGTATTGGGACCAGAGTTCCAGCTTATACATGTTTGAGTTTATTTCAAACAAAGAATGCTTAAACATACTCCTACAATTGCTGGAAGGCTGTAGACACGTTCCCAGTAATGCACTTGTCTTAGTGGCCTCGGGGTGCCTTCAGGAAAAAGGGCCCAGGAGTTCTCTGGTGCCAGTGATGTCAGCTGAGAGAGTTATGGTGACTATTTTAGGGGGATTCTAAAGCGGCAATCTTGATAGATTTTTTTTGGAAGGACACAGGATGATCACAGGATTATTATGAAGAAGTTTTAAAAGAAATTTGAATACTACAATGGAGAGAAAAGGCCATGAAAGGTGAAACCAAGGAATTCTTTTCATCATGATAGTGTGCCTGCTCTTTCTTCAAGGGTAAGAAGGGCTGGCCTATAAGCATTTCACTGGGGAAAAAATATCCTATCTAGTACCCTATCTACCCAGTAGCCCTGATCATGTTCCTTCATTCTACTTGTTATTCCCAGAATGCAAAGAACATATAAAAAGAAAACAATTTGAGTCCCTCGAGAATGCCAAAATTGATGCTTTTATGTGATATATGAATGAAAGAGTGCAGAATTCTTTGGGGAAGATATTACAGAGATGGAAAACACAGCCTTCAGAAGTGTATATACCGAAATAGCAGATATATCAAGAGGCAAGAGATAGGGTCATGTTTTGATGTTTTCGTTTAATATATATTTCTGTGATTTTATACCAATACTTTTTTACTTACTTTCAAGTAAGTAAAAGAAGTTAGAAGTAAAAGTTAAAAGAGGAGATTGCTCATTTTAATCAGAGTGGTAGTGATGCAAATATGAATTAGTAGAAGCTTTGAGATACATAAGTTAGGTACTATTGATTAAGAGTTGAGATTGCTGTATTATGGTATAAAAATAGACATGTATCAATTGATAGACTTCCTTTTACCATCATGCTGAAGAGTAAAATGCTATAAATTAAGGAAATTTCCTGTGAAAGAAATAGCTGACGATGTCCCCCAAATTGTATTCACATATATTTTTAAATGGAAAGGATTGAGACAGTATAGTATTCTAAAAAGTAAATAATTTTCCCTAAAGAAAATTATCCATAGTGTTAAATTTTTTCTAAAGCACCCATTTTAATTGTTTTCTGGGGGAAATATTAATAAAAATACTTCTGTTATTTCTATATAGCCTTAATCATATGACAATATTTTAGTAAATTGAATGCTTGTATAGCACATTACCCAATGCAATCCATCTCTTGATCTCTTGACTGCTGCCTCCATAAGTGTTGATTGCGGATCCAAGCAAGACAGAATTCTTAACAACTTCAATCTTTTTTTATCATGATGTTACCTATTGGTCCAGTTGTGAGGATTTTGGTCTTTCTTACATTAGGTTGTAATACATATTGAAGGTTGCAATCCTTGATCTTCATTAGCAAATACTTCAAATACCTCCTACTTTTAGTAAGCAAAGTTGTATCATCTGCATATTGAAGGTTGTTAACCAGGCTTCTTCCTGTTGCTGAATTCTTCTTCAGATAGTCCAGCTTCTCAGATTATTTTACCTTAGCATACAGATTGAATAAGTATGATGAGAGGAGGATACAACCTGGATGCACACCTTTCATGATTTTAAACCAGGCAGTTTTCCCTTATTCTGTTTATACAACTGCTTCGTGATCCCTGTTTAAGATCTCCATGAGCACAATAAAGTGTTCTGGAATTCCCATTTTTAAGGCAATGCATAGTGTGTAATGCCCTTTTTGAAGATGAAAGTAATGCCATTCTCTTGAATCTCATTCTGACATGGTAAACTATATGATGGTCTGATTCAGAGTGGCCCATAGCAGTCTGTTCAGTTTACTAATGCATAGGATATGGACTTTTATGTGTTCTGTTTCATTTTTGATGACTTCCAACTTTTCTAGGTTTACATTTCAAATATTCCAAGTTTCTGTGAGAAATACACAACTATTTCTCCTCTTGTGAGTTGTGCCCCATCAGCGAATGAAGGTCCCAAAGGCTTTACACCATCCTTGTGATTATTATAGATTCTATTTCAGTCATATTTTGAGTGCTTTCAGACTTGAGGGGCTCATTTTTGGGTACTATTTATCTGACAGTGTCTCACTGCTATTTCTAAGGTTTTCAGTGGCTAATTCCTCTGAAGTGGACGGTGTATTTTTTCTTTGTAGTCTGTTTTTAACCTGAAGCTCTGCTGAATACCAGTGTCATAGCGTCCAGCATCACTGCAACACACAAGCTACAACAGTATGACAAACTGACAGACAAGTGGTGCCTCAAATTAGAAAAGAAATTAGGCTACTTATTTCATATTTAGGGATCCGTGGTTGGGACAGATGCTTAAGTATGTAACTACCTACTGAAAGGTTGTTGGTTCAAACCCACTCATTGGAACCTCGGAAAATTTTCCTGACAGCCTGCTACCAGAAGGTTGCTTTTGGGAGCAGCTCTGCTCTGCACACATGGAATCTTCACGAGTCGGATTCGATAGGAGCAAACAACCACATTACAGATTTACTTGTGACTGTTTTGTATTTAGACAAGAATACTTATATAATGAGGTGAAATGGGAGCTGAAGTATTTGTAGAATTTTGTACAATATATCAGAAATTGCATTTCAGTTAAATTAGGTTTTTGTGTGTCTAAAAAGAGGGCTGGGGCGCGGTGAGGACACTAGTCAGTTCCCTGTGGATTCTTAAATACTGGTTTACTATAACTCCTTAAAAGCAATAATGAGAATAAAAATTAATCAAGAAACCGAAGAATAACTTTAGGAAGTGAAGATTTATCAAATGGAAATTGCAGTTTTCAGAAATGTTTTATTTTGGTGTATTCTGATTTTAGGTCGAATGGCACCTCCTATAGATGATCTTTCTCCAAAAAAGGTGAAAGTTGTTGTTGGAGTATCACGTAAGCATTCAGACAATGAAGCCGAAAGTATAGCAGATGCATTGTCTTCAACCTCAAATATTTTGGCTTCTGAATTCTTTGAAGACGAGAAACAAGAGTCTCCAAAATCAACATTCTCTCCTGCTCCGCGGTAATTTTTTCTATAATAGTCATTTGTAGATCTTTTATCGAGTTGAACTTTGAGAACTTTATAAAAACAGACAAGTGACACATTTCTTTTGGAAAGTAGCCATAACGTCTTTTAAACTACTGGGAGAAAAGAATGACTTGAAAGTCAATTTAGAATTTTGAATATGTAGAGACTTGGCTTTTAAAACGTTTTTTTATTATACTCATTCCAAAAGGCAAGGAAACTTGAATTGTTAAAGAAAAATGGCCTCAAATCTCTGGGCCATAGTCTGCCTAAACCAAGCAGGAGACTGTGTACAAAAGATGTACGTAAATATGAGTATAATTTTGTAACAAGAAAACCTAATCTTAATCAGTAACCTACATGTACTTTGACTTTCTTGACATGCTAAAAAGAAAGAACTGATGATGTGCTAATTTTTAATGTCATTTTCTAGGCTTGAGATGCCTGGGACTGTTGAGGTTGAGTCTACATTCCTGGCTCGTTTGAATTTCATCTGGAAAGGTTTTATCAACATGCCTTCTGTGGCAAAATTTGTTACCAAAGCTTACCCAGTATCAGGCTCCCCTGAGTACTTGACAGAGGTACTGTGAATTTCTACCCTCTTGTCCCTTGGTGTATGAGCTTCTAAAACATAGTAGGTGGGGGGAAATATTTTTAAATAGTAAAATTCATAATGAAAATATTAACATTGATCCTAAAAGAACTTAATTACATTATGAATTCAACAGTAGATTTTGAAAATTGTAAAAAAAAAAACTGTATTCATGGAAAATTGTACCCACATGTCCCATGGCTTATAATATGTGCTTCACTGTGTCAGAGAATTGAAAATTGATGAAATCCTTGAGACTCTTGAACTAGAAACTGAAGCCACTCACAGAGGCCACCTTTCATCCAAATAATAGATAGACTTATAACACAAAGTAGCATCTGTGAGTACTGTTCACCCTTCAATCAACTCTGTGAGACCAGGCAGCATTACCCATAGGACAGAGAAAGGAAGAAGGGTCAGGAAAGTTAGATGAATGAAAATAGAAATCAACAGAATAGTTACATATGGAGAAAATATAATCAATGTAAAACAGTGATCAAATGGGACCCTAATTTGCTGTGCTTCCACCTAAAGAACAATAAAACATTATTTTTAAAAATTAAGAGTCTTCATAGATGAAATTTTCTCTAAGTACAAACGTAAACATGAAAGACTGACTTATGTATGGTTTTCAGTGTTAGCCCAACAGGAAGGCTTTTTATTGTTACATAGGTTTTCCTCTTGTGTTGATCTACATTCATGACTGTGGGCTAGTGCTCACTTGCCCATTCTTGTGAAATCTAGTGTAGACTGAATTTGAAGCGTTATAGGTAATTAGTTGCCCCATAAGATGAGTAAAATATTTAAAATAACCGATAGTTAAGTAAATAATTTGATGTTATTTAATGGCACTGCTTTTGATTTTTCTCATACTTCATGAGGAAAACAGGAACAGATTGGTTAAAATTTAAATGTTCTAACTATACAATTCTGAATTGGTCGTATATATAATTTTTTGATCTTATAAAGATTTTATATATTAATGTCTTTTCTGGACGATATTGTATTCCAATTAAATTTTATAACCTCTGAAATCTAGCCGTTGATGAGAAAGAGAGAATTCCCATCCTGAATTGTTAATGTGTTACGCTTACCGCTGCTTCCCTTTTTGTACCTATTAAGAACCTGTCGTGATTTCAGACTTTTCTTAATAGCTGTATTCTGGGCACATACTCAGTCAATTGAATCTGACACGAGGTAAAACCTAATGGTTATCCTGGTATTGTATTACATTGTTTGATTTATTTCCTAATATTTTTCTTACAGCTAAATTTGTGTGAATTGTAATAAGTATGTTCTGTGTACGTGATCGCTACTTTTTTTTTTTTAACCACAGGATCTGCCAGATAGTATTCAAGTAGGTGGCAGAATATCACCCCAGACAGTTTGGGATTATGTGGAAAAAATTAAAGCATCAGGAACCAAGGTAAGGAGAATTTTTTTCACTGTACAGGCACATGAGAATGTTTGGAACATACCATTCAGAGTTTTGGTTTAACTTCCCTTGTGGAAGGGAACTTTATTATTAATAGATTATTTTATAATTTATTCTATAATTTATTATAATAGATTATAAAATAATCTAATGGTTAGAATCAACACAGATTCTAAAACTACAAGATATGCCTCACAAAACTGAATAAAGCTGTTCACTAAATCTTGAAAAAACAAACAAACCACAGTGTTCCTTATTTTTTTGGTATTTTTTCTCTGTGGTTTATATCAGTGTTTTAGAAGGAATGCTTTAAAGTAAATAGTGAAAATGGCTGTGGAGTTTTGCCTTTCCTCACTTAGAGCTGTTTTGGTTAGCACACAGGTTGGTTAAGCAACTACAATAAAGAAACCTTAAAATATGTAGAAATCTATTATTTTCTTAGGTGAGGTAGGCTAGTCATTGTGGGTGTGAGTGTGGGTGTTTACACAGTTGTTCTACAAGATCATCCAGAGGTACCAGGCTCCATTTATTGCTAATTCTGCTATTTCCAAAAGTGTTGCCCAAACCAAAACTGACGTATCCACACAGAGGGGAAAAAACTGAGAAATGCAGGTCTAGTTGTTTTATGGGCAAGACCTAGTCATTGTCTTAATTTTTGTAACTTACATTGGCAAGAACTTAGCCATAGAACATTAAATCATTAGAAGAAATCATTTTCACACCCCCACCCACCCCCAAAGTACCTAGTATATTACAGTCATGCCCTAAATGATGTTTGTTTCGGCATTGCTTTTTTTTTTTTTTTGGTATAAGAAAGAGCTTTAAAAATATGGAACGCTTCCCGAATTTGCGTGTCACCCTTGCGCAGGGGTCATGCTAATCTTCTCTGTATCATTCCAATTTTAGTATATGTGCTGCCGAAGCGAGCACTAGGCAGTGCTTATAAATAAGTACAAACTTATAAATAAGTATATATCTATAGTCTCAAACCTTGTAAAATGATTGTATTGAAAATTTGATGTACATATAATGGTATATAGTAAAAATAGATGTTAGTTTGTGATACAACATCAAATCTACTATTACTATATTATCTAAAGGTATTTTAGGTATCTAAGTATTTTTTAAATGTTTCTGTACATATAAAGGTATACTGTATAAAGGTAGATTTCAAAAATTTCATGGAAAATTAAATTTAAAGGTGGTAGAAATGGTCCATAAACTTTTTGAAGATCCCTGTACTATACAAGGTTAAGTAAACAAATGTTGCTATTAGAGTTCCATTTTTACCCTTGCCTGCATAGGTTTAAGTCTAATAAAACATGTTCAAAAAATCTTTACACTCAGTGCATAGCTACAAACAAGTTCTTTCAACAATAATCTGGTCTTAATCTTATTTGAGTGCCTTCAAGAAAATAAGGAAAAAACTGTATTCAGAGTTACTAATTGAATATTAACAAAACTTAAGTGAACATTTTCCCAAACTTTGAAACAAGTTTTGGGAACATTGCCCCCATAAAATAGCAGGTTTTAGATGGATCAAAGGTTTTGAGGATGGTCAGGTAGACCTTAAAGATGAGCCATGAGAAAGAGGATTGTTAGTGTTGAAGAATGAACCTACTGACCGATGTCCACAAACTGGTGGAAGAAAATTGTAGGATTAGCATTGAAATGCTAGCTGCTGAAGTTGAGATCTCACACGGTTTGGCATTTTTAATATTAAACACATGAACTTGGCCTCTCAAGCATTTGACTTGATGGGTGCCGGAAAGGTTATGCAAAGATCAGTTTGCTTTCCCTCTTAAACAAATCGAAGTTAAGATAATGTTATGGAATTAATCATAACTGGGGACAAGTCTTCGATTTATACAATCTGGATAGCAAGATCCAGTCAAAACAGTGGCTTCTGAGCTAACCTACTGGGCTTGTTTAAATTCAAGGAAGAGAAATCAGCTCAGGTTATTGAACCTATTTTTATGGGGGGTGGGGGGAGATGCTAAAGAGGTAGTCTTAACAGAATTTTCTCAAGGACGTGGGACTATGACAGGACTTAGAAGGAATACATTTCAAGAATATGGAAAATTATGTTAGTGTGGAAAAAAAAGGGCAAGGAATCCCATTGAGAAATGTTTTCCATCATGACAGTGTACTTGCTCATTCTTTGAGGGTAGCAAGAACTTTGCATAGACCATGAGACACGTTAGCATATCTACCCTACTGCCCTGATAGAGGTCCTTCTGTTCCTAGAACCCAACACTTAAATGGAACATACTTGAGCTCCTTGAGGTACAAAACCTGCCATTTTGACTTCGTGTACATTGAAGGATGAGGAACTCCTCAGGGAAGGAATCGAGAGAGAATGCCAGCTTCAGAAACGCATAGCCCTCGGTGGAGGATAGATCCAGAAACAAGAGTTTCTCTGGTTTTGTAGCAGTACTTTTTGATTCACCCTTATTCTAAACAAACATTTGACTAGCTCACGTTAAATACAAAACTTGACCTGTTTGGACTTACGTACACATTTGACTTAAAAGACAGAATTAAGAATGGAACTCATTTGTAAACTGGGTATTCCTTTAGATATTACGGTGTTTGCCCAGCGTCCAAGTAATAGAATGTGCTATTTCATGGATCATGTCATAGACATTAAGTGATGGATAACTATGCAATAAAATTGAATTACTGAATGTTAATTTTCTACCTTATCTAAAATAGAATCCTCTAGTTTTTGTTTTGTTTTGTTTTGTTTTGTTTTAGAAGCTCTGGTGGCATAGTAGGAGGAGCTCTTGTGGCGTAGTGATTATTCATTAGGCTGCACTCCCCACACTGTCCGTTTGAAACCACTAGCAGTGCTGAGGGAGAAACATGGTGCTTCCTACTCCCATAAAGAGTTACAGACTCAGAACTCAACAGGGGCAGTTCTACCCTGTCCCTTAGGGTTGCTATGAGTCACTTCCGTTTTGGTGGTCTAGTGATGATGTATCAAACCCACCAGCCACTCCATGGGAGAAAGATGAGGGTTTCCACTCCCATAAAGATTACAGCCTCAGAAAGCCACAGGGGCACTTCTAGTTTGTTATTTTGTTCTATAGGGTTGCTCCTGGGTTTTTAGAGTTTTTCTTTAATAGCCCTAGTGGTGCAGTGTTTAAGCTCTAAATTGCTAACTGAAAGGTTAAAAATTTGAACCACTAGTTCTGTAGGAGAAAGATTAGGCAATCTATTGAATTACATAAATATTATAACCTTAGAAACCCTTTGGGGAAATTCATTCTATCCTATGGGATTACTATGAGTCAAAATCCACTTGCTGTCACAATAGTAGCAGTATTTTATGGAATCATCCAAAATATGAATAATTTTTACCCCAATAGTAGATTTTAGATTTTTAATTAGGACAGTGTTAGAAAACAAATATACTTGAAGCACTATTAAAAAGGTGTTACCACATCTAGTTGTTAATGGAAATGAGAAAGAATACACTTGAACATTTTGGAAATCATTCTTGAATATACCTATATGTTACTGCCCAATACTTTATAGTATTCCTCCATCTTCAACTGATTTGAACCCTATATAATCATTACTGAGATATACATATGTAATTTTTTTTAACCTAAAAGAGGGAAGTTTAGATGATGGAGCTTTTATGAAAGTCAGAGCACATTCATGTGCTTACTTCCGGATCCTGCATCAATTATAAACAGACCCAACAGCAACCCTCCCTCCCTTAATTGTACATCTTCATGCAAAAGCATTTATTTCTTACACTACGAAATCAGTAGCAATTTAGGGATGTCTTCTCTCTGAAACAAAGTAAAAAACTTAGAGGGAAGCAAAACTGTTCTTGAGCAAGCCAAATCATTTTATAAAGTTGTGGCCTCCGTTCATTGGAAATCTTTTCACCAAGCCCCTCTGTTACTTAAAAGCAGTCCCAGTAAGCTAGATTATCAATAGGGTTGTGTGTGTGTGTTAGTTGGGAGGGGAGTGCTATTAAATTGCAGTGTTCCAGGAACACGGGATATCTGTGTGTGTTAGTTGGGAGGGGAGTGCTATTAAATTGCAGTGTTCCAGGAACACAGGGGATATCCCCCCTGTGGAGCTTGCAGCCTTGGAAATGAGGTTATAATACAGCTGTCAGAAGTCTTGGGTTTCATTGACTTTGTCATCTTTTAGCCTCAGCGTCTTATGGGCAATGTTCGTAGGAAAAAAAAATCCATCAGAGGATTAGTAAAGACCTTTCTCTAATGGTTGTTTTCTTTCAATATTGATGTTTGGTAATAGCCATTATTATGAGATTTGATAGATGCGACTTTAACTTATTTTTTAAACAGCCATTTTTAATTTTTCTTGAATAGGAAATTTGTGTGGTTCGTTTTACACCAGTAACTGAAGAAGATCAAATTTCTTATACTTTGCTGTTTGCGTACTTCAGTAGCAGAAAGCGCTATGGAGTAGCTGCTAACAACATGAAGCAGGTTAAGGATATGTACCTTATTCCTTTGGGTGCCACGGATAAAATTCCACACCCTCTTGTGCCTTTTGATGGACCTGGTAGGTGTACATTTTAATGATACTGAATGATGTTTGTAAAGTGGGTGGTGCGACCCAAATGACAAATTTATTCTGTTTGCCTTTTTGACGTCCAGGCCCCTGAGTGGCTTGACTGGGACAAGTACCCTTTTGAGATAGTCTAGTAAGCTAGATGCAGAATTGGCCGTATAGTATAATGATAAAAAGAACTATTAATTGATGTTTTTGGTTTTTTGCAGGGCTTGAACTACATCGACCTAATCTACTGTTGGGCTTGATTATTCGTCAAAAACTGAAACGACAGCATAGTGCTAGTGCTAGCACTAGTCATACAGCCGAGGCTCCTGAAAATGTTCCAGCAGCATTGCCACCTGATAAAAAATGTAAAATGGAAGTTTCTCCAGAAGAAGCACCAGAGGAAGAAAATGACTTTTTCAATTCCTTTACAACTGTATTGCACAAGCAGAGAAATAAGCCTCAGCCGACTATTCAGGAAGACCTCCCAACAGCAGTGGAGCCATTACTGGAAATCACCAAACAGGAGCCACCCAAACCTTTAAGATTTCTTCCTGGGGTATTGATTGGCTGGGAAAGTCAACCTACCACTCTGGAATTAGCAAATAAGCCTCTTCCTGTGGATGATATACTTCAAAGCCTCTTGGGCTCTACTGGTCAAGTATATGAACAGGCTCAGCCAATGATGGAACAAAATATTATTAAGGAAATTCCATTTATAAATGAGCAAACCAATTCCAAAGCAGAAAACACCGATAAAATGGAAGTACCTGATGATGAAGCCAAGGAGGTAAAGGTCAGCATAGATAATCATTCAGAAGCTACAGATAATTCAGTAGTAGTAGTAGAAGAAGAAACATCAGTACTAGGGTCCTCTCCCACCTCTCTGGGGCCTTTAACAAATCTCAGTCTCAGAGGTAAACCACCAGATATTTCTACAGAAGCATTCTTAGCAAATCTGTCAATTCAGTCAAAACAAGAGGAAGCTGTGGAGAGTAAAGAGAGGACATTAAAAAGCCAGCTGCTGCAAGATCAGGAGAATACTTCACAAGATAACTGGACTTCAAATTCTGGCTCTCCAGGTAGGGCTAATGTAGGCAAAGGAAACGCTGATGGTAGTGTGAGTTGCAGTGACAGCCTTATTGCTAACCCAGCGAGGTCCCCACAGTTTATCAACCTGAAAAGGGATCCTAGGCAAGCAGCAGGACGCACTCAACAGTTAAGTTCCACAGAGAACAAAGATGGCGATAGTGGACAGAATGGAGAAAAACACACCCTGCCTGGCCTGCCACAGAAGGAGCACTTAACAGAGGAAACGAATATTGAGGAAAAATTGCCTTCTGTAGAGAAAACCGCAGGTGTTCAGCACAATGATAATTCAAGTGCTCCACAAAACTCATCTTCAATAGAAAATGAACACACTTCTCAAACAGAAAAAACAAAACCTTTACAGGAGGACATTTTAATGCAAAATATTGAAACTGCACACCCGTTACGAAGAGGATCAGCAGCAACAACGGCTCATTATGAAGTTGGAAGCACATGTCAATCAGAATTTCCTTCTAAAAGCATCACCTTTACCTCTCGAAGCACCAGCCCCAGAACAAATGTAAACTTCTCACCCATAAGGCCTCAGCAACCCAGTCTTCAGCATCTCAAGTCTAGTCCCCCTGCATTTCCATTTCCAGGACCTCCTAACTTTCCCCCACAGAATATGTTTGGATTTCCACCACACTTGCCACCGCCATTACTTCCTCCTCCAGGCTTTGGCTTTCCTCAAAATCCCATGGTTCCCTGGCCACCTGTTGTTCATCTGTCAGGGCAGCCACAGCGTATGCTGGGCCCCCTTTCACAAGCTACAAGGTATATAGGCCCACAAAATTTTTACCAGGTTAAAGACATTCGGAGACCAGAAAGGCGCCATAGTGACCCATGGGGTAGACAAGACCAGCAGCAGCTGGACAGGGCATTTAATAGGGGCAAGGGGGATCGCCAGAGGTTCCATAGTGATTCACACCACTTGAGAAGAGAGCGATATGAAAAGGAGTGGGAGCCAGATTCAGAAAGGCATAGACGCAGAGACAGAGGCCAAGACAAAGACAGGGATAGAAAAGGCAGGGAGGAAGGGCATAAGGAGAGGGCACGGTTATCACATGGTGATCGAGGGGCTGATGGGAAAGCAAGCAGAGAGAGTAGGAATGTAGAAAAGAAGCCAGATAAACCTAAGAGTGAAGACCATGAGAAGGACAAAGAGCGAGAGAAAAGTAAGCATAGAGAAGGTGAAAAGGATCGGGATAGGTATCACAAAGACAGGGACCACACTGACAGAGCTAAAAGCAAAAGGTAAAATAAGCAGGCGGTGTCAAGATTACATTTAAATAACTATTAGGTGTATCTTAAAAACTTTCTAAGGATGCCTGCTAGGATTGTGCCATCTTTAAAATTTCTCATCCCTGTGGTTTGGAGAAAAACAAACTGTTGGAGCTGGGCGTTCTGTACCATCCTTTCTTCATACCAACGGTATCTAGTTGTAGGGATTTAATATTTTTTAAAGTTTTACATTGCTGTATATTCAGAGATTTGTTTAATTAATACGCAATAAAGGCTTAGAAATTTTAGTTTTCTGTAATTGATAAATATGGTTAACTATGGATATATATTTACTGCCTCTAGTGAATGTCCTTTATATAATGACTAATTTGAGAGTAGTGTGTGCTCTGTAAGTTTGTTTTAAATTGCACTGTTTTAAAAAATACAAACTCGAGAGGAACTATGAAAGCCAAGCAACTTCATAATCAGATTATACTAATTATTTAGTTGAGCCATTTTGACCAAGAATCAAAAGTCTACGGAGTACATGTATTGCTTTAATCGGCACTCATTGAAGGCGCTTTATTACTATATGCTACAGCTTTGTAGTAGGCTCTTAATTTCCTTTTTTTGGCTTGTCAGAAACTTGAATACTTGAGCTTGTACATGATCTTGTGTTTTGCTATCCTTTATACTGTAAAATGTAAATATTTTAAGGGATATTTTGATTCCAAATATGATAAAAGACTTTCTCACCTATTTTGTGTGTGTGGTTTAAAATTCAGTAGTAAAATAATTCCTTTAAAGCTCTAAGTTCCTTCAGACATTGTTGTTATCTAACTCATCCAGTAGTATATAAGCCTAGCTATTTGTATCCAACATTTATTAAGGAGGAAAACAAGTACTTTTAAAAAAAACCTTAATTATAGGCCATTGAAGTAAGAGAACTGTTAATAAAGAACTGTTCATCTGTAGCCCACTTAATAGATATGCTTCTGAGACCTTGTACATCATTAGTTTGATACACTTGCTAGTCATTATAAGACCACAGAGCTTTTATTTAAGAGAAATATGTTGTGAATCTTTTTGTAAAATATGTAATTAACCCTAATCTGCTTCTGTGGTGACTGTACAGTTTCATATGCTGTTTGTTTGAAATTGAAAGCACATGCACTACTACCAATCCAGTTTTAAATAGATTTACATCCAACATTAAACATCTGCCCCGTGCAGAGGGGTCTCGGGGAGGAGATGAGCCGGTCAGGGTGCGATGTAACAACGATGAGAAATACAACTTTCCTCTAGTTCCCAAATGTTTCCTCCCAGCTCCCACTACCATGACTCGAATTCAACCTTGCAAGTCTGGCTAGACCAGAGGATGTACACTGGTACAGATAGGAGCTGAAAATACAGGGAATCCAGGGCCGATGAGCCCTACAGGACCAGTGGTGTGAGTGGTGAAACGGAGGGTAAAGGGAGAGTGGGTAGCAAAGAGGGAACCGATTACAAGGAACTATATGTGACCTCCTCCCTGGGGGACAACCGAAAAGCGGGTGAAGGGAGGCGTCGGACAGGGCAAGATATGACAAAATACAAATTTATAAACTATCAAGGACTCATGAGGGAGGGGGGAGCGGGAGGGAAGGGGGGAAAATGAGGACCTAATGTCGGGGGTTTAAGTGAAGAGAAAATGTTTTGAGAATGATGTACAAATGCGCTTTACACAATTGATGTGTGTATGGATTGCGATAACAGTTGTATGAGCCCCTAATAAAATGTTTTTTAAAAAATTAAATAACCAAACCTTAAAAAAAAGAAAAGAAATAAACATCTGTATTGATTGCTATAATTTACAATAACAGTTACCAAACTTGGGACTGAAAAAGAGAAACTAGTATTTTTACTTAACTGTACTATGGAAGAAAAATATATATAATGCCACAAAATTAAGATTGCCTTCCTAAATGGTTTAAAATTTAGAGCTTAAAAATAAGGTTTCAAACAGAATTAGCCTTACTATTCTCACTGGAAGGAAGAAGTAAAAAACACATTTTGTCTAATTTGCAACAATGTGAGATACCTCTTTTAAAAAAAGTCCCTACAGGGTTAATCATAGAAGTTCTGAAACAGGACTTGTATGCCAATAAGTTTGCTTAACTTTGGTCTCCTTTTCTTTTGGATAGTAACTTAGAATAAAAGTTAATCCACAAACAAAACCTAAGGTCAGTCAGCCGTCTTTTCACAGTCCTGAAGAAATAAATGCCAAGGTTTTATAAGAGAACATTGGTGTCTTAATTTCAAATATGTAGTCGGTAATACTGCTTTCATTGATTTATGTGGTTGGGGGATTGATGAAGCATCAGATTTCTTTTGCACGGTACAAGTAAAGATGAAAGGAAATTTTGATGTCAGATGGTAACTACCTGTTTATAGATTCTGTCATGCTTAATTTAATTTTTTTCTTTGCTTAATTAGATCTTGATAAGCTGTTAAGATAGGCAGACACACCCCTTCTTAAGGATGACCATTGCCTGGGGTTACAGGCTAGTAAATACTATAACTTTGTTAAGTTCTGATAAACTGGGGAGACGACAAAGAATGGGAGTATTGACTCAAGGCTTCCTTGTTAAGAAAGAGAAAATGATAAATTAATGAGTAGATCCAGAGACAGTCTTTACATTTCACCTATAGCTCACATTACACAGATAGGAATTAAATGAAGTTCTTTCAGTAGCTCCTGTTTTAAGGAAAACACTCTTTAAAAAATTGCTGTCTATTAAAATATGGGACCATTTTTAACCTCTGTTGAGTATAATATAGTACATAGTGTTCATACAAGTCCACCCCTTGTAATATTTGTGGCAATAAGAAAGCCTCTGTGTGCATATGGCAGGCCTTGTCTTCTACTGAGTGCTTTACATAAATCTTGCTTAGCTTAGGAAGTTGAAGTCTTAGAACCGAGGAATCTGGTACGAAAAGTGGAAAACTGCCTCAAATTAGACTGCTATTGACGGAGCTGGAATCCTGGTCTATTTGTTCCCTTAAACCCATGTTCTTGACTTGAGTAAAAGACGCTTAAGTATGCTTTTGTATAGACCCTTAACAACCCTCTTCTCCCTATCCCACCAACTTCTCCAAAACACTACTGAGCAGACACCTTCCCCTGCCAAATGAGCAAGGTAACCTTTTTCTTTTGTATCATAGATGTGCAGTTTGAATTAACCACATTTGTTTTGCTGCTGTGTCAAATTAGTGCAAGCTTGGTGCTTAAAACAACAGTACATTATTTAAATTGTGTAGATTGTAAGTCTGACATGGATGTGAAATGAGAATTCCATTTTCTTGACTTCTACCTTCTAGAGGCCACCACTGCTTCTTGGTTTATAATCCCTAACCTACCTTTTCAAAGCCAACAAGAGGGCCATTTTTCCTGTTTGTGTTTCTGATTCTCTCGACTTTTAAGAAAATGAGTTTACTCTCTTTTCATTTCACTCCCTTCTACTCCAGTACATCATCAAGGATGATAATCTCCCCATTTTAAGGCCAGTTGGTTAGCAACTTTTAATTCCACTTTGTCATGTAGCATATTCACAGTTTCCAGGGATTAGGACTACAGGAATCTTTGTGGGGCTGTTCTACCAAACACAGTTTCTGATTCACAAATTCTAACTTAGGTGTAGGTGAACCAGGGTTTTGTTTTGTTTTTTCAACTTATTTTAAATACATGTTGAAAAGAATAATGCCACAGTAGAAAATGGAGTGACAATTTACTTGAGCATTAATATATATGTCTACGCATGTGTGAGCAGAAAACCTGCCCTGGTGCCATCAAGTTGGTTCCAACTCCTTGACTACACAGAACAAAACACCCCCATTCCCGAGCCATCCTCATAAAGAGCACATTGTTGCTGTCACCGTGTCAGTCTCGGCGAGGGCCTTCCTCATGTTTGCTGCCCTTCCACTGTACCAAGCATGATGTCCTCCTCCAAGGACTGGTCTGATCACATGTCCAAAGTCTGTGAGACCCAGTCTCCATCCTTAAGGAGCATGCTGGCTGTACTCCCAAGGCATCAGTTTATCCTTTTATCAGGATTCTTTGCCAGCGCCATAATTGAACTACATCGATTTTTCTTAAGCCTTCCTTATTCGCTGTCCAACTTTCACATGTGTATGAGGTGATTGAAAATAACATCGCTTGGGTCGGGTATGCCTTAGCCCTCCAAGTAAATAAAGCCTTTGCTTAGTAGACTACCCAGTGCAGTGCATTATATGATCTCTTGACAGCTATTGCCATGAGCTTTATTGTGGATCCAAGTAAGGCGAAATCCTTGACAACTTCAATCTTCTCTATTTATCATGTTACCTATTGGTTCAGTTGTAAGGATTTTGGTTTTCTCTACATTGAATTCTACTCCAAACTGAAGGCTGTAATCCTTGATCTTCATCAGCCAATGTTTCAAGTCTGCACTTTAAGCAAGCAAGGTTGGATCATCTACATATTGCGGGTTAATTAAAAGTGGTGTTTTAGATTTTGGATATACCAGTAGCACTATTACCTCAAATTCTATTAAAATGAGAGGATTACTACTGGTATATAATGACTAAAAAGCTGGTAGCAAATCAGTTTTCTCCAAAAGCATTGAGTGCTTAATATTGATTACTATTGAAAAGTCCTAAGCACCCTGGTAAAAATCTTTCAAGAGGACAGTGGATGAGCAGGGGGAAAATTAGGTCAGTAGCTCTGTCTTGAAAATGAGTCATTTGTTTTCTTTCTACACCTGTACAACAATCACTGGGAGCCCTACTATAGGTACTTACAGGGCACCAAATCCAGCATAACTACCTCCTAAATACCATATCAGAATAATTCAGAAGTGTCTTAAGATGTTTCTTACTTTGAAAATAGATTTTCCTAAGTAATCCCCTTCCCTCCCCTGAGGGAATGTATTCTTTAAAAACAACTCCTTGGGTGGCAGATACTGAAAAGATGGCAGTTCAAAACCACCTGGAGTCATCTTTGTCGAAAAGCTTGTCAAAGTGTGGTCTGCTTTGAGAGGTCACCTTGGAAATCCAGCAGAACGCAGTTCCACTCTGCCAAAAGCAGAGAGGGGCGCTGTAAGGGGCTCTTAAATGTAAATCCTGCTGTTTCTTGGTATTTAGGCATTTCACCTTTGGAAAAACATCATATATGCATTTAACTTAAGAATTATAGTATTTGTGATAAAATAGTTCTAAAAGGTCTTTTAACCTTTTAAAGTTTTGTGCTGAAAAAGCATATCACGGGAAATCTACAATTTCATTTTTACTGGAATAGCCGGGGGAAAAAATGTTGATAATAACATTACGTGGTAAGGCTCTTAACAATCACAATGGAAGGGGAAAGAACAGTGACGTAGAAGAGACATAAAATCGGAAGCTCCTGATTATTCTCACTGACTTAGATCATTTCACCACTCAGATTTCTCCTACTCTGGAGCTGACATGAGTAACAAAGTCCTAATAAGAGGATTCCAGATAAAACGTGTTTAACCATGTCTGCAATAAATGGACGGCTGCACACGAGCAGCCCCAGGAATGCACTCACTCATCCTAGTGTCTCTAGGGAGCCTTCAGGACAGTAGCTTTCGAGCATCTGCAGGGCCGGTTCAAGGCAGACCGGTCAGCATCGAAGGTCATGGGGCCAGCTTTTGAGGATTCCAGGGGCCAGTCCTGACCGATTATTTTGAAAGATAAAAGGACATTCATGGGGGCTTATTTAA